AAATGGTTTATATCATAAAAACCTCTCAGTCCAACCATTGTGATCTGTAACCTGTATACTGTAAGAATGGTACATGTATAAATGCATGTATACATGAAAATAAATAATTACATACTAATTCATAAAGTTTTAAATTTACTTTTTCGAGTAGATTCGTCATTCGTAGAATAATCTGCGTAGACTTAAAATAGGTACTCAAAATTGCAATCTTCAAAAGGTTATACCTTGGAACTAAGTGTCTAAGTCCGATCAACAAATTCTGATTGCACCATTGTAGGTACCTACTTAACACGTAGACAATTTATAAAATATACCTAATTACCTATATGTTTCCGAAAAAAATTCCCAAAATTCGTGCTAAACTGCATTATTTCAATATTTTTGTGCAATATTTAATTTGCAATAGTGATTAGCAGTGGCGAAAATTGGCTACAAAATTGGCTAAACACAGTGTAAAACAAAGGAAAACTACGGAGATTGGGGGGAGCAAATGCCCCCTTTGCCATAGGGGATTTGAGTTTTTATTTGTTGTTTCTATAAAATATACTACCTATATTAGTACCAATAAATAATAATTAATTAAATATGGTTCTCCAGTATAAAAAATAATCATGGGGATACGACACCAAAATCCTACTGTTGAAACAAAATGCTGCACACTTGTTCAAACGCCATTTTTGACTATCTATACGACACTCATTTTTTTTTTTATTTATTTTAAAGGTCACTACCAACAATTGAAAATTGATACATTTTGAAAAAAATAATTGTTTGTATATTTTATTATCTAGTATATATTTAATTTATAAGGTAGGTATTATTATTTTAATTAGCTATGCTATTTAATTATATTCTACAAGTATTTACATTATTATAATATTAAAGTTGATTTTTTCCTGTCCGGACGTGTGTGTGTGTGTGTGTGTGTGTGTGTGTGTGTGTGTGTGTGTGTATGACATGACATTAACAAGGCTGGGTATTATTAAAGAGTTTAAAAATTAAAATTTGAGTTTGAAATACCTAAAAATTATATTTGTTTTTCCAACACAATAACATATTTAGGTAGGTACTTAAAAGTTACCACAAATTAACATTATATTTTCAAACGCAGCACAAAATATAAGTTACTCAAAGATACGCTCAATATTTAAATTGAAGAAAATATCAAATTAATTACATACCTACCTGATAAGTGATAATATATTAATTATTATAATAAATATAATTAAATTGTTTTTGTGCAATCAGATTATTATGGAAATAGTATTTAACTAGAAACTAAGAAACCTATATATATATAATTAATATTATTACGGTCAAATATTTCAACTACTGCTCCTGTATACAGTATATCCCAGAAACCCCGTATCGGTATCACCCTTAGAATCTCCATGGAAAATCAATATATGTAAATGCAGTTTTTTTTACAGTAATAAGTATAGAAATTCTGATTGAATATTATTACATACAATTTTTTAGGCAAATAAGTTTTTTAAATTTCCAAGATTTGTTAATCTTATTTTTTAAAACAGTTCAAAAAAAAAAAATATTATAATGTAATGAAAATTGCCCAAGTTAGAGCTAATTATTATTTTGAATTTCTAAAAATAATAGTTATGTTACCTATGCATACGGCATTAGCAAAATACTATTCGCATGTTAATTACCTACCATACAATCACGCTGATTTTTCGGCTAAAATTAAAAATAATAATTAGCTCTAACTTGGGCGATTTTCATTAAATTTTAATAATTTTTTTTTTCGAACCGTTTTAAAAAATACGATAAACAAAATGGGTATATTGGAACTTTGAAAAACTTATTAAAAATAAACATTTTTTGATAATTTTTAAATTTTTGAAAAAAAATCGAACATTTATATGCTATTCAATTAGAATTTCTATACTTATGACTGTAAAAAGACTGCATTTAAATGTATTGATTTTCCACGGAGATATACTAAGGGTGATACCGGACTGCTGGGGCATACTGTATAGCATATGTTATAAAATTTTCTGATGCTATATGAACACATAGGTATAATCAAGTAACAGTTATTTACTACAAGACTGTTATTTTTTTTCTAAGTTGTAGGTAGGTATACCTATTTAGTATACACTTTACATAATAAATATTATGTATAATATTAAGTTGGTTTTCGACCTACTCGAATAGAAACAATAATTAAATTGTAATTAAAAAATAAAAACCTTCGTATAACTTTTAATACCATGTAATTAAAGAATTAATGAGAGAATTTGACTTCTCTACACATTTTGGGTGGTCTATGACTTATGAGGAAATGTCTAACAGTTAATTAAGATATTATTTATGTTAGTTTTGGAATACAAATTATATTTACTTTTTGTTACAATTTTTACAATTTTGTTTTTAATAGGATGTCCGCGTAAAGTTAGTCATTTTTTCAAACCTGTATAGGCGTAACATATAGATAAAACGTATTCATGTAATATCGTTTTTTATGATTTTTGAATGATATTATTAGAGTAAAATCATCTATCATAAAAATAATAGAAGATAATATTTTTGAGGATTTGCCACTTTGACACATCGGTTTTATATTTTATTATTATTTGAATTTATATTAGCCCTAACAATTTAAAAAATAAAAAAAAAATTGGAAATTAAAATTGATATTAAATTGTTTTTAGACAATATTTAGAAAATGCAAAATGGCATACACTCGAAAATGTTACCTACTCAAAAACATAAAAAAAATATTATGTGTCAATGCGATTTTTCAGTGTTGCGAGTGGGCCACAGAGAGAAAGCAAACAATGAGCTGACACTTTCATAATTAATATTATGATATGTGACATAATATGTAAATATGATTATTCAATATTAATAACTAATAAGTATGACGTCGTAGGAACTACACATGGTTAATAATTAATACAGGTATAAAGTTATAAATGGTTGTTTTTGTAAAGAACATAATTATTAATAATTCGTCACTTCTTCAATAACAATCAATCGATGTAGGTGATAATTATTATCATTTATCCGTACAATTAGTAATTACCGGTAAATCTTGATTATAATCCTATATCGAAATTAGATTAAATTGTTGTCTACAAATTTGAAGCTTTTTCAATTATATCAATAAACACAAACATATCATAAATAAATACGTATAGCTACTATCAAAAACATAACGATAAAATATGGACTTTATAAAAAATATTTTTAATTTTTTGTTAGATAATATAATTAATTTTAATCTATATTCTATATTATACTATTCGCTGTTTAGTATACCTACAAGATAAATTTATCAATAGAGGTTCCTGCTTATATATTATTATAGTGTTTTATTGTGTTAATTAATGTTTTGTCAGCGTTTGGTAAACTGCAGTCACAATTTAATAAATATGGCAATATAATAAAATATTATACTATAGTACTATTGTTCTGTGGTACTATGCATAATAATATGTGTATTGAATTACAGACATTATACCTTTATCTATTATAGTTTATAACATAGAATATAGTATTAAAAGTTAAAACATATAATACAGGATGGTATGTAAATAAATATTATATTGTGATTTACGGACCCAGCCACCCAGGTCACAGCTCGATCAGGTATACCGCATTGTATATTACCTATGTGAAAATCGTGAAATATAACATTAAATCTCCTCCTCTCCAACTTCTTTGGAAAAAGACAAAAGTTATAATTTCCTAGCTTAAAAACTGAAAGGTTAAATATGATTTACTAGGCCTTGACGTAACAGAATAGTATTATTGCCTATACGGCTATAAACGTACAATATAATTACCTATATTATATTATAGGTACATAATATCTAGATACCTGCAAGTGCGATCACTGCATGATTTATATACAGGTTGATCGCAAGTCGCAATACTCTTAAATTGGCAACTCGGTCAATATAGCAGCACGCGGGTCAATCAATTATTATTTATTATAGTTCAACTTGAGCATGATTCATAATAAAACACTCACTGGAGGTTTTTTACTTACAAATGAGTTAACAGCAGTACAGCACATAAGAGACGAAGATGCTTAGCTATAGTAATAAACTTATAAATACTTATAAGTTAATATTATAAGTTCTTATAATTTATGACAATACCTAACAATGTTATAGGCATATATTAGCTGGTATATACATTGTGAACAATGAATTATAATTTAAAACTAAATACCTACTAAAAATTATAACATATTGTATTTTATTATTTATTATATATTTGGTGTTTTTTATGACTATAAAATATGCAAGTACGTGGTGCATCACTCAAAAGTCACCACGCAATTTCCATCTTAGGTACATAATTTTATATAATACATTATATTATTATACTACTATCTTAGGTAAAAATAACCTAGTTTTATTACAAAAAGTTACACCCACAGCTGTGTTGTCTCCGTCTTAAAAATGTAAAACATTGCAATAACTGTTTCACGCGGCCACGCGGGTAAGAACCACTCAGGCTGTAGCCCAAGTCCAAGCAACCAAATGGTCCAAATGTCCATTCTAAAAAGAGGAAAACATAAACTATGCAACGTTGTTTTTAATTTTTTCGATACAACAAATACAAAAAAGTTCTTATTGTTTAAAAATTCATTAATGTTAGTATTCGTTAGTGTTGTAAGTTTTTCAAACCTGAATAACTTTTTTTTTAAGTTCTGATATAGAAAAAATAAAAATGTTTCACAGTAAATGTTCTCCTATTTATAGTATGGAAATTTGGTTACTTAGCTTGAACTACCACGATAAGTATCATGCTAACACGAACCTAAGTGGTTCTTACCCACGCATAAAATGGTTTTTGCTATGCTTAACATATTTTGAAAGACAAAGACAACAACTGGTAACTACACGCGCGGGTGTAGCGTCCTATATTAACTCTCTAGATTATTACATATTTTCTATACTGCAGCGCTATCTGGCGACCAGGTGGTACACAACACCGGCTATAGACAGAATCGGTAATCGATCACTCTACAATGTGACGATCGGCACCCGAACGCATGTATATAAGCAACGAAATCGGCTTATGAGTACCGTGAGGTCTGGCTCGTGGAACTGCCCGAAATCGCCGTATGGTGATGTGCTGTATGATGAGGGGGGGAGCGAACTGGTCGTGCTAGGCGGGTGACTGTTGTTGTTGCTGTTGATTGATTGACGGTGGCTTGCCGCAAGTGCCGTGTTGAGTGCCAGCGGAACTTTGGGTGGCAGTTCGCGCTGTGCGCTACACTTGGCGGAGCCCAGCGTAACCGTAATCTCACCTAACCTCCGTGGTTGACACATCCCTGCCATGTATTCCCCTCCTCTCTACTGTCGGTAACTCTACCGCTGTTCAGTGTCAAGTGACGCTACATGCGGCTCCATGGTGGAGCCGTCCGCAGACATCGCAGTTTCACGTGCAACTTCGACCTCCACAAAATTTTTTGTAATTTTTTCGATTTTTAAATTTTTGTTTGAATTTCATCACTCAATTTCATCACTCATCACTCTTGGTTCAAAATTATTATTAAATGTTTTTTTTAAATATTAATTATTGTTTGATATATATGTAAATATAGATATATTAGTGTTTAACTTAAAGGTAGTACACAAATAAGTAAATTCCGAAAATATAAATAATAATCTATATAAATATCTATATTCTATAGAACTAAATTAATATTATTAAATCTTTATATAGAGTTAAGTATACCTTTTCAGTTAGGTACTTCGTTCATGATAATATATTATAGTTTATTATCAATATCTGTGGAGTCTGTGGTCAATGCACAGATTTGTATACACAGTCTGTGCATAGAACAATTTACCTGTGGGTAAATATGTTAATTTTATCCTTATCTACAACCGTGGTCAGGACGATAAAGATATGTGATAACGACAGCGTGATACCATAAATATATATAATAGTAATAATAATAATATTTATGCATGATACTAAATGCTCAATTATTGATAAACGGATTGCGGCGAATGAAAATATTGAAAACGCCGGCTAACTGCTAAGTAATAAATCATAGGTAAACGTCTTATAAGTATTACGTCGACGTAATTACAAATTTCCGGTGTAAAAAAAAACTATTACCTACTTGACTTCTGATCCTTCCGAATATTTTTTACATAAATTGTAATTCTATAAATTACTTTATTATTATTACGGTACATACGTATATTATAACAATATTGTAATTAGTAGGTACTATATTATAGTCGTAGAGTGTGGTGGACCCATATAATATGTGGCAAACGTTAGGAAATAGGTACTTATACTGTTACATTTCATATTATATTTCGATTTATTCTATAATTATTTTTATTTTATTTAAATTTACTACTTAATATTACGGCTGTTGCCATGGAAATATATTATAATAATATTTATGGGTTTTGTCACGAATTGCAATAAAGTTATTGACGACTTTCTTTTGTTTAAGTATTGTATATAGGTAGTACCTAGTACCTACCCTACTTTAGGTACTTACAAATCGTTTCAGTTTTATTTTATACTGTTGTAGAAATATTTGAAAAATAAAATATCAATGAATCAATAATTAAATTTTTGTCAAATTGTTTTTATTATTGAGAATAATAAGCCTGTCCCGGCTAGACTGCTATAACAGTTGTCAACAATTGTGGCCATCTCAATTCTTAATACAAGTTACAATTGTATTAATTTATACTGGTCATTCTCATTATATAGCATTTACCTATTATAATATATCGGTATGTATTTATAATAAAAAAATTGCACGAATAAAATTATTTGAGTACTACGCTTAAAACTTCAATTGCGTTGTAACGACAAATATCAGCATGAATACAATTTATAATAACATTTTAAAAATACCTGTATAATGTATTTTATATAATTACATTTTCATTATAATAAAATGTATCGGCGGAATGCGGATGTCGTTATAATTTTGAAAGGAATCGATTTCCTTGCAAAGATTGGTTCACTAAATTTGGACGAATGATTGCTTAGGTAGATACTTAATTTTGCAAGAAAATTAAAAAAGGTGCTTCTCCTAAGAATAATCAATTTTCCATCTGTAGAAAATATGGCAAAAGCTAGCATAATATATTAAGACTTTATAAATTTTACTTCCCTAAAAGATTTCTATATAATTAACTGCTCTGAAACTATAATATTCTTAAATCGAAATGCTAACCTAACTTATAATATCAACATTAATTTTTTTATTGTATTTTTTGTAATTAATAAGTAGTAGGTACCCATACTTTTTACTATACCTATTGCATCATATATTGTAACATAAAACATTATGCAAGTAGTATGTATGTTACTTATACTAATATGAATTTCATAATTTTTATCGTTGATACTTGATAATGTTAACACTAAATTATACTATTGATAACATTAAAAACACTGGAATTTATTTTTTAAATTGCTCTCATACTGGCAGACAGTAGTCTTGATAGGTGCCTTACCTATGTATTCAATATTGGACCACATGTAACTCACATTCGATTTTATCAAATAATTACTATTCATAATTCATATTCAGCAAGGTATATAACTACGATGAATGAAAACCAATTGGATACAAGTAACAAGTTCAATCCTATTTCAATTAATGGACCTAGACATTATTCAACTTCATTAATAGTAAGTTTGATTTCATTACGATTTATATTATATTTCTGTATGCAAATGTAGGTAATTCAATTTTCACAATATTTATCTATTATATTGTTTGATTAAAAAAATACTTGTTTTCAAAGAAACGTATGTACTTATAGTTCAAACATAGGTAAATCTATTTGGATTGTGTAAAGTGTATTTTCATTTAATTATTTATAATAACTAAAACTGTTCCTGTGTTTAAAACAAAAACTGTTTTAAGTATTAAATATATTTTATATCATATTGTACCTAGGTAAGTACTACAAGTTTTGAAAAAAAAATTTAATTTTTAGTTTTGGTTTTAATTATCAATGTATCAACCAAGCTTTTAAGTTTTTAATCCATTAACAGCAAGTTGATGTAAATTAAAATATAAATTTTTACATTTTGTGCTTTAGTTACAGGAAACATAAAATGTATTCTATGATAGTAATTACTAAACAATATATGGGTAGCTATATTTTTTTGTTTAATTCAGTTACTCAAATATATAAGGTATATTAAATATTATATTGAAGACCCGATGACATAAAGTAATACTATAAAATTGTTTTGATATTTATTGCAACTTATTACCTAATACTACCTATACCTACCGACAAATATATTTTTTAAATGATCAAACATTAGATGAAAGTACACATTATTAATTACCACCAGTAAATTATTATTTTTAATTTATGTACTTATTATTATCTTGTGTTTTGGTTAAACATATTATTTAATTTGTAATTATTATTGTAGATAAATTCATTAGTAAAAATCTGTTAATTTATTTTAGGCTGGTGCTGTAGCGGGAACTGTTGTTGATATTGCATTATTTCCATTAGATACGTTAAAAACTAGATTACAAAGCCAATATGGATTTATTCAGTCTGGTGGTTTCAGAGGTATTTATAAAGGACTAACGCCGACTATTATTGGTGCCCCTTTTACAGGTAAAATATTTGTTGTCATTACTATTACACAAAACAATTGAAACCAATTTTTTTTTAGCGGGATTGTTTTTTGGCACTTATGACGGTTTTAAAAATCTATTTCCTTCTGTATCAAACAATACTGCTCCATTAGTTCATTTATGTGCAGGAATCGTTGGTGAAGTGGTATACTACATTTTAATTATATTGTATTGTTTCAAGTTAAATATTAACATTCAAGTATAATTATTTTTAATGATATATGTATACTACTATTGTATATTATATATACAATATATATAGGGTGATTCCTCAAGCATGCTCATCCTCATTCTTTCCTATAGTAATACATTTATTAAAATTATGATTTTTTGGAATTTTCAAATATACTCAAATATTTTTTTCAAATTCTTGAATATGTTTGTACTTACTACTTAAGCAGTGTCCTATCGCAATATAAACTTTTGTTTTTCAAATGAGAACCCTTCTTCTTTACTGTACATTAATAAGTGGATAAGACTCTTAAAATGGTTGATATACTAAATTCAAAATTTAAACAAATTTTTATTATTCTATTAAAATGTTTCATCATTTTCACAATTTTTAATTCTGATAATAATAATTAATAACTACAATTTTCAGATCACCATTCCTCTGATATCTTCCAAATGCATTATTTTTTAAACATTATCGTTAATGCTTAAAGTTAAATAACTAAAAAATTACGCTTTCAAATTTTGATTCTGATACATCAGCATATTTAGAAAAAGTATCTGCTAAGTAATTCACTGTAGAAAAGGGTTCTCATTTGAAAAACAGAAATTTGTATCTCCACAGAATACTTCTTAAGTAGTACAAAAAACTTGAAAATCAAGTCTTTTATGTATATTTAAAAATTCCAAAAATCAGATTTAGAATAACTGCATTACTGAAGAAAAAAATGGGCTTGGTGAGTCACTCTGTATATTCCGATGCTATTAATTACACAGGTTTGTTGTACAACCAAAGTACCCATAGAAATAGTAAAACAAAGGCGTCAAGCATCACCAAATCAAGAATCTATTTTAAAAATCATAAGAAATGCGTATGCTAACGAGGGAGTTTTTGGGTTTTATCGTGGTTACTGGACAACTGTTATGCGTGATGTACCATTCTCTATGTTGCAACTTCCAATATGGGAATACTTAAAAAAAGAGTACAGGATTTTTACTGGTAAACCTCTTACAACATTAGAAGTTGCTTTATGTGGTTCTATATCAGGTTATTATTTTTAATTGTTTACAGCTACTATTTATTTGTTTGACAATTCAATTTTCATAATAACTTTGTTTTATAGGAGGCATAGCTGCTGCTTTGACTACACCCATTGACGTAACAAAAACACAAATTATGTTAGCAAATAGTGCTGTGGATCAAAATTTCTCAATAGTTTTTAAGAACATATACAAAAAAAAAGGACTAAATGGGTACTTGATAAATTTATATATTTTCCCACAGTTTATAACTTATAATATTGTATTCAGACAAAAAGAAACACAGTGGAAATAAGAGTTAACAACGCTATGTTTTATAGAGATCACTTATTTATTTCATTTTTTCTAGGACAATGTCCATAATATTAATTTTGATGATCTATTAATTATTGGTGACATTTTATGAGAAATAATTTCTATAAAAGAAAAAAATGAATCGCAAAGCACTATATAAATTTATTTTTTTGATATCCCATCATTTGAGTGAGTCATAGAACAAAAAATGTATTGAGTCCTAGCAAGTTGATTTAGAGCTTGTTTGTTTTTATTGTTAAGTGAGTACTAAAGTCGGAATTGTTACCTAATTTAAGTCACATGTCAGTTATTATTATTTCATGTTATTCAGTCCATTTATTAAAAACAGTTTGGAATTAAATCATATTTCAATGTTGTTTAGCTTTAAAGAAACTGCTACAAAGTTTTCGCCAAAAAGCATTAGTCCTTTTCTTTTTTTTGTAATGTTTGCCAATTTGTGTTGAGGCATATCTAAGAAAATGGAATCTTGATGTGAAATCCCAGGAACATGTTGAGTATTTATGTGTTTGCATGTATTATTATTATTACTATTATTATTGTTTCATTGACAGCAATTTCACATATTATAACAGATATGGTAAAAAAGTATGCATGTGAGTAGTTAGAACACAATAGGACTAATGTACATAAGAAAGTTATTATTCAGAAAAACAGAGTGCTAAATATACATATAATAGTTAAATGATTATTAAGTACAAGCGGTTGTGTGGCCCAAGGATTAATTATTATTTGCAGCTCTGAGCATACGATGCAGAGTATGGTTGTGCTCAAAAAGTCTTATGTCTTATGTCTACATAGAATCGGGATTGATTTCTTGAAGAATGAGAAGGGACTCTAAAAGGTATGGCGTCAAGGAGTTCGGGAACTCTGTTATTATGTCGTTATTGGTATATTAATTGATATACATTTCACATTGAAAATGAATAAATATTACTTATTTTAATCACACCCAAAAGTTGTGCGCTCAATTTACAAAGATTTATAAATTTTGTAAACATTCAGTTATAATTTTTAATATTATATTATATTTACGGTTTCAGATTGTTTGCCGGTTTTCTTCCAAGAGTCGTATTGATAATGATTGGTGGAGCCTTATTTTTTGGTGTATATGAGAAAACGTGTAGAGAAATTGAAGATAAAAATAAAAATATAATTTGAACATTTTAGTACATAGTACCTATATTCATGTTGTATTCTTCTAATTTTTCATTGTTACCAATATTTGTTATAGTTATTTAATTATTAAAACAAAATATATAAATCATAAATGTTTATAATTTGTATGTAATACTATTTTAATCTGATGACGATGTTGATCCATAATCTGCAGACACAAGTGATGCCGTGGAACAATGATTAGTACTAGCAACTGGTAATATTTCTGTTTTCGTTGTAATAGTTGATTGAATGATGCCCACATTAAGACACTTTTTTGGTTTATTAGGGTCTAGCTTAGGAGTTTTGCGAAGCCCATGAATAAACTTTTTTTGTCTGGTTTTCGTACCTTTTTAGGACAAAAAATATAACCACATTAAATAATACTAATTGGAAAATTATTTAATTACATAGAAAAAGCAGCTATCTCCTCTATAGCAACGCTTTAATGCATATTATTTAAGATATTTCTTGGATCAATGATGTGTAAATTAATGTTTTCCTAATATTACTCATATTAAAAAGTAAACAATTTACTTGTCAATTAATTTGTAGTGACAAACTTGAAATTATTAACTGAGTATACAAAAAGCAAATGGTGTTTTGTAAATAACATGTTATGTTAAAAGTTTTTAAATGTAAACCTAATTTTGACCATAAAGAGTTTTCATATTACAATAGAATAAAATGTATTCTTACTATCAGAAGTTTGATAGCTTAATAGTTTAGCAATTCTTATATCTTCTTCAACTTCATCTACTAATGGAATACTTAATGATAGTCTTTCTTTTAATTCATTGTCATGTTTTTCTTTCACAGCTAATTTCTGTTTTTTTGTCTGAAAATTGAACAGATTAGTTATTATTATAAGATTACAATGACTAAATATAAAATAACATAGTTTTTCCATATAAAAGTTAACCAATTTGCATTATATGTATTTATTTTTTGTACACCACAGTACCTATAGCCACAGTACCACAGAACATTATATATTGGCTTAAGTACAAAGTTCTTTTGTTCCAAAATATTATTTTTTGTTTATTGAAATGTGTTAATATGTAATGAAAAGTTACATCTATTGAATTTTTTAATTAATATTAACCTAAAATACAAAATGAAAAATGTGTAGTCATTTAGTTTCAAACTTACTCTTAACTGTTGTCTTAATAATGAATTTGCAGAAAAATCATCATTCCATTTAGCATCTTGTGCATCATGAAGCTTAACTAATATTGGAGCTGCCTTTTTAGCCTTGTCTATATCTTCAGTACCATGTTCAAGTTTAAACATAGCATCATCAAACAACCGTTTACTTGTATCCTTGTCCTCTGGGACAATTTGTTCATTTTCAAAGGGATCCCATCGATTTTCTTGTCGACGAGCACCACTTACAATTACATAATCTAAATTCTATTTTTATTTTAAAGAAATTCAGACATTTTCAAATTATAAAAATATTCCATAATTTTATTATTACCCCAGGATCGGTTTTAATTTCAAAATGGTTATTACAAAGATGACATTTCATTCGGAATTGATAAACTGGCGTTGAATAATACATCCCAATTTTCTTTTTTTCAGCATTATACCTAAATATTCAAATTAATTAATTACATTGTTTCAATCAATAGGATATTTATTATACCGAACTCCCATTCCAATGTGATTATTGCATCCATCACACCATATGTTGTATGGCATTTCAAAACGTATTATTAAGATGCCCAAATGAAGTTTTTTAGCCCGTTCTCTTAAGGCATGAGTTCCTTTAAATTTATTCAATCCTCCTACTGCAGGATTATAATCTGGTGGGTAGTATTTATTCTGTCCTTTACGTTCACCCATCTTGTTTGGTGGTAATAATCAAATTAATATTATCTGTAATATAAAAAACTAAATAGTATTTTTTGACTCCTATGTTTTTAAAATTTGGTAGCAATATTAAAGAAATATGTAAATGATTAATAATAAATAATACATATTTCTAAATACCAACATAAGTGGACACTACACGGCCATTTATTGTCTTCGTCTTACAAGTGTGAAATAGTGAATCAACCTATTGTTAAACTTGATGGTAAATACATTATCTGTGTTTGTATTACTGGTTTTTTACGATGGTTAATTTTTTTTAGTAAAGTTATGAGTATATAATATAGTGAAAATTAAAAACGCTCATAACTCACTTAAAATCGGAATAATCGTAGAAAATCAACATACGAACACAGATAATGTTCTTACCATCGGAGTTTCATAAAAGGATTCACTCTAATTTTTAAACGTGATCTGCTAACCGTAAATTTGCTATGTTATGCACTTGTAAGACGGAGGCAACAATTATCTGTGTAGCGTCCTCTTAAGAATGTATGTATTTGTGTCTACTTGTTACTACTTACAATAAATAAAAATGCGTTAAAATAACAATTATTTACAAAATCAAAATTGAAATCAAGAAAAATTATAAATGTTTACTATAACATTATTTATTACTTATTATCAATTATCACGGCTATCGATCTACTATCATAGAAAATTCTGTGCTACTATCACAGAAAATTCTGTGCTACTCCACGGGCTAAGATATTGGGCGCGTAAGATATTGTGCTATAGATAATGGATATACGTTTACGGGTTTACGTTACTTTATATTTTATCTGTGGTGCAGAATGTAGATATCAGCTTAGAACAAGCTTACAGAATAGATGAAAGACTGAAAGAGTATTATTTCATATTTTCATCTATTCTGTGATGTAACCTTAGAAGTTAGAACCAAACTTTTTAAAAAATCTAAGTTATTCCGTTATTTAATAGTGTAATAATTTTAAAATTACAAAATATTATATAGTTATTTATATCTCATTTTATACAACTAAAACAAGTATTTGGATATATTATATTTATATAAGTGTACCTACGACCTACCTATAAATAATTATTAGATAAGTTTAATTTAATTAAGCACAGACATTTCAGTTTATAGTACACATGAATAATCCAGGTTCCTTTGCTGGTAAATACATATTTATATTTTTTACTTACATTTTATATATAGTTTTAACATTGGTGTATTTATTGTGATAGATGAATTTCGCAGAGTAAAAGCGTCGGAAAATTATGAAACAATTAATTCTGTTGGTGGACAACATATTTCAGAAGCTACTTCTAATCAACCTAGCACGAGTAGTGCGAACCAATCCCCTGTGAAATCAAATGCATCTGTTTCAGGTGTATTAGTCAACAACAAACAAGTATACAGTTATTTTCTTGTAGATGGATTTTAAATATGTTTAAATATTAATTTGTATTTATTAATAGAGAGGCAATCCACTGCTTAAATCTATCGTTAATGTACCATGGGAATATTCAGATAGCATTTTACCCGACTATGTAATGGGACGTACAACATGTGCACTATTTTTATCCCTACGCTACCATATGCTAAAACCTGACTATATATACAACAGAGTAAAATCGTTGGGGAAATTATATGAGCTAAGAGTATTGTTACTTCAGATTGATGTCAAAGAGCCACATACACCTCTCAAACAGTTGACTAGAATGTGTCTGGTAGCTGAACTTACATTAATGTTAGCTTGGACTTCTGAAGAAGCTGGCAAACTCATTGAAACTTATAAAATATTTGAGAATAAGCCACCAGATCTTATAATGGAGAAAGCAGAAGCAGACGACTATTCCAGAGTAAACTTTAAATTTTTGTTTTTATTCAAATTAAATTATAATCGACATTTTATTTTTTAAATTATAGATAGCCAATGCACTTACAACTATTCGTGCTGTAAACAAAACTGATGCAGCATTGTTACTATCTACATTTGGTTCATTGGAAAATATTTGTAAAGCTTCTCATACAGCTTTGGCATTGTGTCCTGGGTTTGCTCAACATAAAGCAACACAGTTATATAATACTCTTCACAAGCCTTTCCTGAAACAAAAAACTCTCGAGGAAGACTCACAATCAAAAAATAAATAATAAAGTCAATATTATAATGTGATGTCATAATGTTTTTGCATTTTCATTATATTTTATTGTCAATTGTATCACTTACTTTTTTAATAATTAATTTTTTTATGGTAAACTGTATTCCATTATTTAAATTATCATAAGTTCCAACCATGGGCGTAACTATAGGATTGAATAGTTACAGGGGCTTAGAGTCCTACAAAACAAAATTGTAAAATTACAAGTGGGGGAAAGCCCCCCATACCCCCCTTATAAGATTCACTGAAATTTAGTTGTTATAAAAAGTCCGCTAAAACCAAAATTTAATATAAATCATAATTTTTTTGAGTCATCTTCGTTCTTAGCACTACTTGATTTTTTTAATTTGAATATATAGATAAGCTTGAAGCTAATATGCAATAAGCAGATACACCTCAAACACATAAACACATTTCTTCCGCTAAAACTATGACCAAATTTGATAAATTCGTACTTGGTACATACATACACTGTACACAATGTCAATTATATTATATAATATTTATAATTAAGGTATTATACTATTATAGAATATTTATAATATTAATATCAATTAATGAGAATGAGATTTGAGACGCTACATTAATATTCAAATTAAAAAAAAAAGCTGGTAATTGGATGTCACCCTGCTGTACAGTAGGTTACAAGTCAGTTATTGTTTAATGGATTGTAATAAACTTGAATTCATTGGTATAATGTCATTGTATAAGAAAAACGATTCTGAGCAGAGACGGTTTGTCAGTCAGGATATTTTATATTGTTATTATTTATTATAATATCATGTAAGTTGAATTAATATCATATTATTATTTTTTTATTCGTTTCTATAGTGATAAACAAAACGTTAGAAATTAAAATCCCATTTTTAGCGGTTTTTGAATTTTTCGGTGTTTTTTCCCGTGGAATTAAACAGTGGCGGCTCGTGGTGTTCAAAGTAGGTGGTGTGCAATTATTGCAAAAGTTTGTTTTAAAAAAAAATAATCTGTTTTAAGTATAAATGTAATAAGTTAAATATTTATTAGCATTAATAATAATAATAATAATTAGTATATTTTATATTTTGTTTATCGCGTGCGACCGCCTGACGAGTGTGCAGCTGTAGCTGTAGCTGTAGCTGCAAACCAAAGTCACATATAATTGCCGATTCCCTCACTCGACAACGGGTGTGAAGTTGGGGGACTATAGCTAGGGGACTATTTTCTCGGACGATTAGTGATAACAGGTCTTGTGTGCAAGGTTGCGTTTTATTATATTAAAGGCACTCACCAAATGTACAACCATCAACCACAAGATGGCGCCATGAAATTCATTACTTAGTATTGTAAATAGTAATATAATAATATATTACATAGTAATAAGCGACCGAACAGCCCAGGGGACTATTTTTTCGTACTGCCTATGTACGATCGGGTGTGTGGTTTTTAATTTTTTTGACCAAGTTCCGGAAGGTGGCGCCGCATTAAACCTATATATTCGGAAAGCCAGGAAAATTCTCTATAAGACGTTTATACTTTAAAAATGTTCAAAGCTTTCGGGGTTATAGTAATAAGCGACCGAACAGCCCAGGGGACTATTTTTTCGTACTGCCGGGTGCAAGTACCTATGCGCCGTTTTTAATTTTTTTGACCAAGTTCCGGAAGGTGGCGCCGCATTAAACCTATATATTCGGAAAGCCAGGAAAATTCTCTATAAGACGTTTATACTTTAAAAATGTTCAAAGCTTTCGGGGTTATAGTAATAAGCGACCGAACAGCCCAGGGGACTATTTTTTCGTACTGCCGGGTGCAAGTACCTATGCGCCGTTTTTAATTTTTTTGACCAAGTTCCGGAAGGTGGCGCCGCATTAAACCTATATATTCGGAAAGCCAGGAAAATTCTCTATAAGACGTTTATACTTTAAAAATGTTCAAAGCTTTCGGGGTTATAGTAATAAGCGACCGAACAGCCCAGGGGACTATTTTTTCGTACTGCCGGGTGCAAGTACCTATGCGCCGTTTTTAATTTTTTTGACCAAGTTCCGGAAGGTGGCGCCGCATTAAACCTATATATTCGGAAAGCCAGGAAAATTATCTATAAGACGTTTATACTTTAAAAATGTTCAAAGCTTTCGGGGTTATAGTAATAGGCGACCGAACAGCCCAGGGGACTATTTTTTCGTACTGCCTATGTACGATCGGGTGTGTGGTTTTTAATTTTTTTGACCAAGTTCCGGAAGGTGGCGCCGCATTAAACCTATATATTCGGAAAGCCAGGAAAATTCTCTATAAGACGTTTATACTTTAAAAATGTTCAAAGCTTTCGGGGTTATAGTAATAAGCGACCGAACAGCCCAGGGGACTATTTTTTCGTACTGCCGGGTGCAAGTACCTATGCGCCGTTTTTAATTTTTTTGACCAAGTTCCGGAAGGTGGCGCCGCATTAAACCTATATATTCGGAAAGCCAGGAAAATTCTCTATAAGACGTTTATACTTTAAAAATGTTCAAAGCTTTCGGGGTTATAGTAATAAGCGACCGAACAGCCCAGGGGACTATTTTTTCGTACTGCCGGGTGCAAGTACCTATGCGCCGTTTTTAATTTTTTTGACCAAGTTCCGGAAGGTGGCGCCGCATTAAACCTATATATTCGGAAAGCCAGGAAAATTCTCTATAAGACGTTTATACTTTAAAAATGTTCAAAGCTTTCGGGGTTATAGTAATAAGCGACCGAACAGCCCAGGGGACTATTTTTTCGTACTGCCGGGTGCAAGTACCTATGCGCCGTTTTTAATTTTTTTGACCAAGTTCCGGAAGGTGGCGCCGCATTAAACCTATATATTCGGAAAGCCAGGAAAATTATCTATAAGACGTTTATACTTTAAAAATGTTCAAAGCTTTCGGGGTTATAGTAATAGGCGACCGAACAGCCCAGGGGACTATTTTTTCGTACTGCCTATGTACGATCGGGTGTGTGGTTTTTAATTTTTTTGACCAAGTTCCGGAAGGTGGCGCCGCATTAAACCTATATATTCGGAAAGCCAGGAAAATTATCTATAAGACGTTTATACTTTAAAAATGTTCAAAGCTTTCGGGGTTATAGTAATAGGCGACCGAACAGCCCAGGGGACTATTTTTTCGTACTGCCTATGTACGATCGGGTGTGTGGTTTTTAATTTTTTTGACCAAGTTCCGGAAGGTGGCGCCGCATTAAACCTATATATTCGGAAAGCCAGGAAAATTATCTATAAGACGTTTATACTTTAAAAATGTTCAAAGCTTTCGGGGTTATAGTAATAGGCGACCGAACAGCCCAGGGGACTATTTTTTCGTACTGCCTATGTACGATCGGGTGTGTGGTTTTTAATTTTTTTGACCAAGTTCCGGAAGGTGGCGCCGCATTAAACCTATATATTCGGAAAGCCAGGAAAATTCTCTATAAGACGTTTATACTTTAAAAATGTTCAAAGCTTTCGAGGTTATAGTAATAAGCGACCGAACAGCCCAGGGGACTATTTTTTCGTACTGCCTATGTACGATCGGGTGTGTGGTTTTTAACTTTTTGACCAAGTTCCGGAAGGTGGCGCCGCATTAAACCTATATATTCGGAAAGCCAGGAAAATTCTCTATAAGACGTTTATACTTTAAAAATGTTCAAAGCTTTCGGGGTTATAGTAATAAGCGACCGAACAGCCCAGGGGACTATTTTTTCGTACTGCCGGGTGCAAGTACCTATGCGCCGTTTTTAATTTTTTTGACCAAGTTCCGGAAGGTGGCGCCGCATTAAACCTATATATTCGGAAAGCCAGGAAAATTCTCTATAAGACGTTTATACTTTAAAAATGTTCAAAGCTTTCGGGGTTATAGTAATAAGCGACCGAACAGCCCAGGGGACTATTTTTTCGTACTGCCGGGTGCAAGTACCTATGCGCCGTTTTTAATTTTTTTGACCAAGTTCCGGAAGGTGGCGCCGCATTAAACCTATATATTCGGAAAGCCAGGAAAATTCTCTATAAGACGTTTATACTTTAAAAATGTTCAAAGCTTTCGGGGTTATAGTAATAAGCGACCGAACAGCCCAGGGGACTATTTTTTCGTACTGCCGGGTGCAAGTACCTATGCGCCGTTTTTAATTTTTTTGACCAAGTTCCGGAAGGTGGCGCCGCATTAAACCTATATATTCGGAAAGCCAGGAAAATTATCTATAAGACGTTTATACTTTAAAAATGTTCAAAGCTTTCGGGGTTATAGTAATAGGCGACCGAACAGCCCAGGGGACTATTTTTTCGTACTGCCTATGTACGATCGGGTGTGTGGTTTTTAATTTTTTTGACCAAGTTCCGGAAGGTGGCGCCGCATTAAACCTATATATTCGGAAAGCCAGGAAAATTATCTATAAGACGTTTATACTTTAAAAATGTTCAAAGCTTTCGGGGTTATAGTAATAGGCGACCGAACAGCCCAGGGGACTATTTTTTCGTACTGCCTATGTACGATCGGGTGTGTGGTTTTTAATTTTTTTGACCAAGTTCCGGAAGGTGGCGCCGCATTAAACCTATATATTCGGAAAGCCAGGAAAATTATCTATAAGACGTTTATACTTTAAAAATGTTCAAAGCTTTCGAGGTTATAGTAATAAGCGACCGAACAGCCCAGGGGACTATTTTTTCGTACTGCCGGGTGCAAGTACCTATGCGCCGTTTTTAATTTTTTTGACCAAGTTCCGGAAGGTGGCGCCGCATTAAACCTATATATTCGGAAAGCCAGGAAAATTCTCTATAAGACGTTTATACTTTAAAAATGTTCAAAGCTTTCGAGGTTATAGTAATAAGCGACCGAACAGCCCAGGGGACTATTTTTTCGTACTGCCGGGTGCAAGTACCTATGCGCCGTTTTTAATTTTTTTGACCAAGTTCCGGAAGGTGGCGCCGCATTAAACCTATATATTCGGAAAGCCAGGAAAATTATCTATAAGACGTTTATACTTTAAAAATGTTCAAAGCTTTCGGGGTTATAG